TATAAAGCTTGTTGATCAATCGATCACCCTCGTTGATCATACATAAACACCCTCCAATATAGAACACTTTGCATTTTACTTCTCTTTGAGAATTTGGATTGGTTAAACTCTAAAACTAGCAAATAGCACACTTTATACTGAACAGAAACGCAATGACCGCTCGATCGTTCACTTTACCACTCAAGCAGTGTGACTAAAAGTGGTGTTCACATATAGGCCAACTACTTTAGCGCAATTTCTACCGCTCAAACAGTAAAACAAGCTTCCTTAAAGCTCGATCGCCGTGCTTAGTCAGTGAAAATCAAGATACTCAAAACAAGATACAGAATGTCAATATAAACTCCTTGACTCAGGACACAACTCAGGTTGGATTCGTATTTAAACTCTCATAACTCACAGATACAAAAAAAAAACCGAATAAAAATATAACTAAATGAAATTTTGTCCAACAGAATTACTAATTACAAAAACCTAACAATGTATAAAAAAATATTGTATACAAGTGTAAATTTTTATTTTTATATAAAAAAAAACACGTCCAAAATGATGGTGTAATTTTTTTTATTTTAATAAGCTGTAACAGTTAATTTAAGGGTAAAGCACCAATAAATTTCAAATAGCGATCTTATGAACTGCTTGGTCCTCCCTTTAGTCTTAAGGACCCAACGGTCTCATTCTAGTGTGAGCTACGTAAATGCCCAAAATGTGGATTTTTTTCATTATGGCGAAATTACTAAACGTAATATTTCAAAAAAAACTCCCTAGTGCACTTTTTCCAAACGTAACGTTCCAATATAACACTCCAAAAATGTAACACTCCAATGTAACACACTAAAAAATTCTTTAGTGTATTTTTTTCCAAACGTAACACTCCATTCAATATAACACACAAAAACTTCTTACTCAAACGTAACATTCCAATGTAATACACATAAAAATTTCTTAGTGCACTTTTCTCAAACATAACGCTCCAATCAATGTAACACTCAAAAATTTCTTAATATACTTTTTTCAAACGTAATAACGTAATATTCTAAAAAAATTCTTTAATATATTTTTTCTAAACGTAACATTTCAATTAATGTAACATACTAAAAAATTTGTTATTATACTTTTTTCAAACATAACAACATAAGATTCTAAAAAAAAAACTCCTTAGCATATTTTTTTTAACATAACACTCCAATCAATGTAACATACAAAAACTCCCTAATGTACTTTTTCCAAACGTAGCACTATAATGTAACACTCTAATATAACACCAGAAAATCACACTATATAAATGTAGATTTTCACGCTTGACAACCAACACTTTAGTCAACAATTCCTCCAAAAAGAATCTTTCACACCTCACCTTTCCATTCACATCTCAAAAATAAATTAGAAAATTTAAAAAAATAAATCATAAAAAGACATTCGCTTAAAGTCAAATGAAACCAAATCAAATAAATATAATTTTTTAAAATAAAAAGAACTAATTAATTGATAAGAATATTCTTAGAATTAAATGAATTAACATTCCTCATATAAAATTTATGAGTAAATTTTTCTTAATTTAAAATGATTGTAAAGTTTTTTTTTTTTTTTTTTTAAAGTAAATGAGATTTGAACTCTTGCTGTGTCTCTACACAGCAAATTCTATATGGGCTTGTCCCGAACCCTTCATAAGATTGACGAGTCCACCTGGCCTATGAAGTAATGCAGGTTTCACCTTGACGTAATCTAATAGGATATTTGGGTGGATTCTCAATGAAAAAAAAAAAAAAAAAAAAAAAAACCTTAGATTAATTTGGTAATAATAAGTATATAATTTCATCATATTTATTTTTAAAAAATTAACAATTAAGTACAATTTTGAAAAGAATAAATTACAAATATACTCTATGAAATTTGTTTAAAATACAGATTTACCTTTGTGAATTAAAAAATTACAAATACTTCATTGTCAGAATTTTTTATTTAACAAAATTAATTAAAAAAATAAATTCAGAACTACTCTCCTATACAACAATAAAATTACCTGAATTATTGATTGAAATATATTTCTAATATAATTAAAAACTATTAATTGACTCGGTGATTTATTAATAAAATGACTGATTTGTTATGAAATTAAAAATTTCAAGGAATGGAATATAATTTCCAAAATTATATGGGACGATTCGTATTTTAAGTAAATATTAAAAAGTGTATTTGTAATTTACCATTTTAAAAATAGACAAGTTATTTTCTGATGATAATATGATAAAATCATATATGTATAATTATGTGAAAATCTTCTATTGAGTCTTTTATTTGACAATTGACTAAAATATCTAAGAGACTAAAAAGTTCTTACAAAAATTCAAGTACTCTTTCTATTTTTCTGTCGGTCTTTCATAAAAAATAAAATAAAATAACTAATTAAATAGCCAATTCTCAAAATTGGTCAAAAATCTAATTGTGTAGACAATTTTCAAAACATAGAACACAAATGTAAATCAAATAACAAATCCTACATATAATAGACTCCAAATATGAAATTCTATTTTTTCTCTTACATTTATGTCTCATTATGTAATATACAACTATTTGATTTCAAATTTAATTTTGTGTAAAAGTTCTATTTCCAAACATATAAGAGTTTCTCCAACCCTTCATCAAATCTTTCATTAAATTTAATTTGATGAAAAATTGATGAAAACGGTACTCTAATCGTTTCATCAGTTTAGTATCAAATTGAGGTTGTCTTAAACTTTTCATCAAATTGAGGAACGGATTGGATTGGTTCCAGTTTTTCAGGAACCGTAGATAACGGATTGGTCCTGGTTTTATCCCAATCCGGTCCAATCCGGACCATGCTCACCCCTAATGAAAACGGTACTCTAATCGTTTCATCAGTTTAGTATCAAATTGAGGTTGTCTTAAACTTTTCATCAAATTGAGGATATTTAGAGTCTTTTATCAAATTACTGTAGATAGTCGTTAGTGCCAAAGCACCAGACGACCAACCGATTGTCCTCCCGAACATTCATTTTTTTGCAATTTACATTGACCAGTTGACTGGCCGAACATCCTCCTAATCAATCGGTAATTTGATGAAAATTTAGAATTTTTCGTTAGAATACTCGATATCAAATCAAGTTTTTACTCAAATTTTTACTTAAAATTGATAAATTAAAAAAAATGATAAATTACATTGACATCCCATGAAGTTTCTGTTTAATACAGATTTCCCCCTCACGTTTGAAAAATTGCATTCCCCTCCCCGATATTTGTAATCTCATTACAAATTGCTCCCTAGATTGCTGATGTCATACCGTAAAATTTTTTAAATGACTATTTTGTCTTTTTTTTACCATTTATTCTTCCTATCATCATGATTACATTCTACAACTTTTCATCATTAAAATCTACCTGAATATATTCTTCTTGAGTGATAATATACAAACATAAATTTGATATAAAATTTTCAAACACAATGATATAATTTAATGGTGACCTTTCAATTTAAAACAAAGCACCCATAAACATGATTTACATTTTCAACATCACTATCACAACATTTTTATGATATTTTTTGTATAAATTTTTATATATGAATAGAATTTTCATTTTTATTTTCATCATCGTTTTTCTTTCTCATCTATTCACCAACATTTACTACAGTATTATCAAACACCATCATTCACATGTATTGCAGTATTACTGAATTCTTATATTTTTCATTTTTTTGTATTTGGTGAATTTAAAAAAAAAAAATCACAAAATATTATAGTGCTTAAATATATCTAGATTATGGGTGCAACTTGGGCAGACTCAACCCGAGCAACCCGAACCCAATCCGAATTTTTTTAGGGCTTGGATAAAATATTTTCAAATTCAATACGGGCTTGGGCAAAAATTCAGAAACCTGAATTAAATTTGGGCGGGTTTGGGCAAAGACGTCAAACAACCCGAGCAACCCGAAGCCCAAATTATACATATGTAGATATATAAAAATATTAAATATACATATAAATTATTAGTCATTACATGATATTAAAGTAATTTAGATTATTAAATCATATTGAATATAGATTATATATACAAATAACATAAAATTTTACTTTTTTTATTTTCACTCATAAATTGTAAGTACTACTATAGCGGCATCTCTCTTATATTATATAAATTATTTATTTTAATGGTATTAATAGTTTTCTATTAAAAAAAAAAGAGAAGTAAATAGAGTCGAATTTTAATAATTTAATAATATAGCAGAAAAAGAAAATAAATTGAAATTCATTTATAATTCGAGCAACTCGGGCAATTCAAGTTTAACTTGGGTCGGGTTTGAGTAATCAACCTCGGGTTACAATTCGAGCCTGGGCAGGTCTCAGCACAATTTGGGCTGAGCTTGAAAAACCTCTCAATCTGATCGAACCTGCCCGAGTTGCACTCCTAATCTAGATTAGGTGTATCCAAAAAATAAAAATAAAAATTGCTTAAAAATCACAAAATATTATACTTCTTAAATATATCTATATTAGGTGTATCTAAAAAATAAAAATAAAAATTACTTAATATATTTTTTAAAAAAATCAATAAAAATAAAAATATATGAAAAATTAAAAAAATTTAATTTTTTGAGAGAGTTAAACCAAAGAAGATAATTGTTATTTCTCTTAAAATGCATGAACACAACCTTAGTATTACTTTATTATTTTATATACATAAAAGCTAAAAAATAAATATACTATTTTAATCTAACGGAAAATAAATATAACTTTTCAAATGTAACGGAAGATTTATATTAAATAAAAACTTTAAGAATGCCAGTATAATTTACCCAAAAAGAAAATAAACATTGAAGATGCTGTAAGTGAATATGTCCCACCTTCATTACTCCCTTTCTACCGCTTTGCCTTGCCTTCACTTCTCTCCACGTATCGTATACATTAGACACTCACACATGTGAATGATCAATTCAATTCTCTCCCAAACGAACAAACGGAATATTCATTCATTAATTTATATATGCATACGCATACACACATATGTATATATAGAGAGAGAGACATCCTTGTCCCTCTCTCTCTCTCTTGTGTTGAATGAATGCTGATTAAGCCTATTCACCCAAAAAAATGCTGATTAAGCCCCGTAGCCTTCGCTCCTCCCTCCGCTTTTTGAACAACACTTGGATTATCAAACCCAACTAACTCATTCTCCCAACTGGATAAGAACCCTCTTCATCCACTCCTCCTTTTTAGGAATCTACTCTCTCCTCATGCCTATTCTCTCTCTGTCTCTCTCTCTTCTTCAAATCTCATCTTAATCTCTCTCTCTCTCTCTCTCTCTCTCTCTCATAACACTCTTCCTTTCTCTTCTCCAAATGGGTTTTCAGTCCTTCTCATCAATTCAATCAGTTTTTGAAGTACAGGGTAGTACATCTTCTTTTTTAAATCACGGTATCTAGACACGTAACGGTAACAATAACATACACAGACACAGTATCCAGCAATACGTATCGAGAATCAGGTGATACAAGAGAATACTTGTTGATGGACTATTTGAGAGAGATAGAAAGCAAGACAGCACATGATCATCATCATCATAATCATTCAAATGAGAAGATGAAGATTAGGTCTCCAAGACGAGTCTATGTTCCTGGACCGGTCATCGTTGGAGCTGGACCATCTGGGTTAGCCGCCGCAGCGTGCTTGAAACAGAGAGGCGTGCCGAGCATAGTTTTGGAGAGATCTAACTGTATAGCTTCTTTATGGCAGCTCAAGACCTACGATCGTCTCCGGCTTCACTTGCCGAAGCAATTCTGCGAGCTACCACTTATGTCTTTCCCTCAAGAATTCGCTACTTACCCTACAAAACAGCAGTTTGTTCACTACTTAGAAGAATATGCGAAAAGATTTGAGATTAGGCCTCTGTTCGGGGAGGCGGTGGCAAGTGCGGAGTTTGATCGGAGTGTCGGGTTTTGGAGAGTGAAGAGTGTGGGGGTGAAGGAGGGGGAGGAGACGGAGTTTGTTTGCCGGTGGTTGGTGGTGGCTACCGGAGAGAATGCGGAGGCGGTGGTGCCAGAGATTGAAGGGAGAGAGGAGTTTGAAGGGCCTATAGTTCATACAAGTTCTTACAAGAATGGTGGTGTTTTTGGAGGGAAGAGAGTTTTGGTGGTTGGTTGTGGGAATTCAGGAATGGAGGTCTGTTTGGATCTCTGCAACAATAATGCTAGCCCTTCCCTTGTGGTCAGAGACACAGTAAGTATAATTACCGTTTTAAATAACTGTATTAGAATATGTATAGATATCGATGCATAAATCTCAGGTCAATCGAGATGTATAAATCTCAGGTTAGCCGGTATACCACTAAGGGCAAATTATATCGATAATTCTTATATTTTGATACTTAAATTATTTTAGTCATTATTTTTTTAATTGACTCGATTTTGATTTTTAATTTTAGATTTTACATCAACTCCAATTGATAATGCCGTTAGGGCTTTAATAGAAAATTTTCTCTCAATTGATTGAAGTTCTGTCATTGAATTAATTAAATTTATAATTTTACTTTAAAAAATGTGACACATGCTATTCATCTCCGTATTTGTTATAAAATATGGTAACAATTAGAATCAATTAGACCAATTTGAAACAACTAAAAAATTCAAGCTTATAATTGATCTAATTAAAATTACAAAAACTAAAATGAAATAATAATCAAAGCAAAGGACAAGCAACATAATTTGCCATAATATAGTGTAATTTTAATTATTTATTGTTATTTATGTAAATTTTTTATTATTTTTTTATTATCAAAATATGTAAAAAAAATTATTTATTTTATATATGTGTTTTTGTGTCTTATATTGATCAATCTATTAACGAATACATATATTAATCAATATTTAAAATTTTTAACTATTTTTTTAACCCAAATATGTAAAACATGTTACTTTTGTTTTTGTTATTGTTTTTGAGCAACATAGATTTGATTGACATCTTGACACCTATTTTGCTGTTGGCAGTTTTTATGACACTCCTATTAGTTGTTCCAACTGCTTGTGTTCAAAATAAATAAATAAATAAATAAGTGACAGTGGATTCAACTCAAGTTCCAACGGTTTATTCGAAGTTGATCACAATCTATAAAGAGAAATGCCGTGGAGGTCTAATTTTTGAGATCTAAAGATAGTTCTAATGAGTTGGCAGTGAGTTCTACCTATATATAATGTTTTGGTCTTGATTTATTTTTATTTTATTTTTTTTATTTATTATCATGTCATTAGTGTTTCATTAAAACATCAAAATTAATAGTCTAAATCATTGTTGATCTATAAATATGTGATTTTTGTTTTTTTTTTGTTTGGTATGAGAGAAAAGCCTTGATACTTCAATTTCTTGGGATTCTCAAGCATGCGCAACGTTGGTTTGTATTTGTAAATTAGGATTTCTCATTTCACTTTTAATCACACGTATGATTGTGATGATGTGATCTTTCTTTTTCCCTCTCTCTCTCTCCCTGTAAAGTCCAAGTCATGGCCTGGAAGCAACCTGCTCTCCAGTAGGGTAATTGGAGAGAGGGAGAGAGGAGCAAGGATCCTCTAAAGTGATTTTTCTCTAAAGTTTCTTAGAGTGTTACATTGTGTGGTTGAGATTTACTGGCAAGTCACATCAATTTTTCCCTAAAGTTTCTGATGTGACTTGCCAGTAAATCTCAACCACACAATGTAACACTCTGAAAAACTTTAAGAAAATTTCACTCTAGAGGATATTGGTCAGGGAGAGAGAGGTGTTTCTCTCTCATCACCCATCAACTCATCTGTTAGAGTCTTCTTTTTTTAGTAGTGTCCTATCTTTCTGTGACCCTTTTCAATTTTTTTTTATTTATTTATTTATTTATTTTTGAACAAACTTTTGAGTTGTTTCTTGAACTTGATCATGATTAAGGTACATGTCCTACCACAAGAGATGCTGGGAAAATCAACTTTCGGGCTGTCCATGTGGTTGCTAAAGTGGCTGCCCATGAACCTTGTCGACCGCTTTCTCTTGGTGGCATCGCGGATCTTTCTCGGTGACACTGCCAGGCTTGGCCTCGACCGCCCTTGCTTGGGTCCCCTTGAGCTAAAGAACTTGTCGGGAAAGACACCCGTGTTGGATATTGGTACCCTTGCAAAGATTAAAAGTGGAGACATCAAGGTATTACTTTTCTTTATTAAGCAAATTACATCACTTTTTAATTTACTTTGACAAATTAACTTTCTAGGGTTTGATTGAACGCATAATATCTTTCTCATAGACGATGCTACACTAAATTCCCCTATTTTGTGGAAACAATCATAAGTAATATTTGTAATTTGAATTATTCAATTTGAATTTCGGGTGTAAATCAAAAAGGGCAAAGTTTCCTTAACTAGAATTTCAAACCAAACCATATTTTTAAAATTTTGCAACATTTTTCTGTAGATTAATGTTAAAGAAATGTTATCTTTACTTTCAACTGAAAAATTGAAAAAAAAAAATTCATTCTTGCAATTTTCATCTCTTTAGTTTTTATACCAAATAAAGAAATTGTTGAATTACAATTAATGACTCTTATATCTTGTTTTGTTACTCTTGGTGTAGGTATGTCCAAGCATTCAGCGACTAACGCGTTATACCGTGGAGTTTGTCAATGGGAGCAAAGAAAATTTTGATGCAATCATCTTAGCAACTGGTTACAAAAGCAATGTACCTTCTTGGCTAAAGGTACTTGTTTCATCTTCCTTTGTTTCATGATTCTCAAGTTTATGTTATATTCTCACAAGTTCATAGGACTGAAAAAGAGTGTGTGCTTGAATTATACTTTACAGGAGAGTGAAATGTTCTCGGAGAAAGATGGGTTACCACGAAGGCCATTTCCAAATGGTTGGAAAGGCGAGTATGGACTATATGCCGTGGGATTTACCAAACGCGGATTGCTTGGTGCATCAATTGATGCTAGGAGAATTGCAGAAGACATTGAACGGTGTTGGAAAGCTGACGCAAAACATCTTGCAGCCTTTACGCGCTCACTTTCGCCTCAATCATGATTTAAATTGAGCTACAAAACATAGGTTTGATTTGTAAAAGGTATAGATGATTGGAGAATTTACCATTCGCTCAATTTTGGTACCATGATGTCTCTCCTCCAATTGAGGAAAAGAAGAGAAGTCAAAGAAAGACAAAGGAGTGTTCTCTCTCTCAATGACACCAAGCCTTGGGAAGGAGGAACTGAGAGCAAAAGAAGGCTTCTTTTTTTTTTTTTGACTTCTCTTCTTTGGTTGGTAGGGGACCTTAACTATCTAGCTAACATGCGTACATCTTGTACATAGCCATTTTCCCTAATTACTAGGTATGACTTTTAGAGAGAGAGAGAAAAGAAGAGAGGGGGAAAGAAAGGTGTATGGTGGTGCTAATTGATATTTAGCTTGCAACTTGACATGATTGTGATGATTAACCAAGATTTCACTAGTCAAAAAAAGTCAAGGGTAGTGATCAGCATGCAACAATCCTCTTTAAGCGTGATCATTGAAGTCCTGATTTACATGGAGTTTGATTCGAGAGTATGATGTTTTCTCTAATGTTAATTAATTTTATCATATGGTTGATGACTTTCTATCTAGGGTTTTGGTTTTGAGATTTGTATGGAGGGAACTTCAAGGATACATGACTTTCTAATTAAAATTTTGATAGTGAAACTTTGGTACCAAACTTCCATATGATTTCTAGAGCATTTATAATCTTTTATGATTTCTCAGAGTTTCCGTTGTTGAAATGATTGCATTCCAAGTAGGAGATAGGACCACTAGTTTCAATGTGCCAAATTAAATATGCCAATTTTTAGATTGAACAAAAACTAATTTACTACTGAAATTTCTTCTGATTGAGATCCTTTTGAATGCTTTGTTTACTTAGTTGAGTTCAATTTTTCTTCTTCTGTGAATTCATGCTCTTCGCTGTCTCACAGTAAATCATATTGTCAGATCATCTAGTTGCAGACAAATTCTCACAGTTTGATTGCTGATCGCATTCAATAACTCGCTAACTACCGCCGGATTGTATTGCTCCACATTGTAATTTACAAAAAAAAAAAGTAGGGACGATTTGAATAGTGCTTTGATTAGGGGTCTAAGTTCTGTTGGAAAAAAATGGGACTTTGGTTCTAGATTTTTTGTAACAAGATCATGATTTGAATATTGGCTAAACGTTTACTTTCATTTTTTAATATTGTCCATGAAAAGCAAAGCAAAGCAAGATGATGCTTTATTCTAAGTCAACAAGGGTTTTTCGGTGTTAGGTTTTCGCCTCGCTGTTGAGTGAACTACTTTCACTCTATTTGTTTTATGAAAAATATTTCTCGATGAACAATATTTTTTATGAAACACTTTTATAAAACTTATGTTTAGTTGTAAATTTGAAACTAATGTACTAATAATTGTATCAATGGAGAAAGTGGCAACAGAGAAGTGGTGATAGTGTAATATGGTAACATTCATAAAATTTTAGTTTAAAATATATTTTAAAGTGCAAAACAATTTTTACCTAAATAAGTTTACTTTTGATTGATTATAAAAAATAAAAAAAAAAAACTTTTTTTATTGATTTTTATACACTAAAAAAAAAGGAAAGTGATTGAGACCCCCTCCAATCACCACCTTCACCACCCCACACACATGTGGCGGGTGGTGATTGGAGGAGAAGGAAAAAAGAAAAAGAAAAAAGAAAAATTAGCCAATCAGAGAGAGATGGGGTCAAAAGGGGTGCCTCCTTGAAGGGATCCAACTCATTTTCCAAAAAAAAATTTCGTCAAAATAAACAACTCCTACGTGAGGAGGAGTTGCCTTAGTGCTTTAGCAATGGGCAATGCTTTTGGCAACATGCCAAAAAAAATCAAAAGTGAACTTTTAACTCATTTTAAGTTATATCACTTCTCACATGAAATGAAATAGTAAGAAAAATTAAAAAGTTAATTTTTAACCATGTTTTCAAAATAGCCTCGAGCATATAATGAAGGCCATGCCTCTCTTTTTCCTTCTTCTAGGTAACTTGGAAAAGGACAAGTAAAAGAAAAGTGTATTGAGTAATATATTAACGGATGATGTGATATAATTTTAGAAGTTTTAGATATTTATAATTTCTATAATGGGCGGGGTCATATTTTTGAATGATAATGTCATAATATATGTGAATACACTAATTGGTATATCAATTAGTGTATGTAACATCACCGAATAAAATAGGCTAAAATAATTAATAAAATCAAATATCACATTCAAACTATAATTATTTTACTTTTTTCTCACAATTATCAAATTAACTACACAAAAAAATAATAATAATAATAATTAATTATCATCCTAAATATAATTTTTTTAACTAAGCTAAAGTCAAAAGGCTAACTAAAATAATTTATTCCTAATAGAGGTGATTGATAACAAGCCAAACAGAAAATTACCCTACCTAATAAGGAAAGTGAGTCATAAAAAGTTGATTTTCCCAAGCAATTAATGCTTTTCTTGATATTGAAATTGGCCGTTTATGAGTCAAAGTGGTGTTGGAGACGCTTTATGACCGACCTACAAAAAAACACATCATTAAGATGCAAAGCAAAAAAAAATGCAAACCAAAAAAAAAAAAACGTTTTGTTTTCGATTTGAAAAGAAACTGCTACTGAAGCATACTCTTTTTCTTTTTTTTATCGGCTAAAGTTGTTAGATTAGTTTTTATGAGAATTACTCATTTTATATTTACAACATATCAAGTGTTTGTCACTTAATTCAACTCTCTTTTAAGAAGAGTTGGATCTATTACTTTCTTTTAAGATTAGATAGTTAAGAGAGTCATAATGGCCAACTACAATGTAAAGGAGCTTTTTTATTATTTTTATTATGGAATTGGTATCAGAATTTGGTGAAGTGCTTTGAAAGTAAGATCAAGTTATGTAAGTATTTCTATTTATGTATAAATTTTTGATATATATATAAATTTGTATGGTGTGTTTTATGTTATAAAAAATAAATAAATAAATAAAATAAAATAAAATTCCGTCTAAATTTTTTGTGTATCTTTTGTATTTTATATCTTCATAAGTATTTGTTTCATTTATAGTTGTTGTAAGACCTATATGCTTAGTGTATGTCAAAACCCATATACTCATTAAGATCTTTTGACTATTGGCCATAATTAAGTCTTTAAGATCATAAAAGAGAGGTTTTAGGCACCAGATATTACACTAGGAGGGTCTTAGGTACCAACAACAATCTAAAATGACAATTAATTCTGATGATATAATATGCTTTGGAAATACAAAAAATAATGTTAATAATAAATATGATCATAGTTTGCATATTACTAAGGAGTCTGCAAATATACATAATGTGTGTTCTAGTTTAAATAATATTACTGATATTATGTATTCTTGGTTTTCCAAATTAGATAAAAATCAAAAGATAAATCAAAATTATCTAGAAACTAAAGTTGAATCTATAGAATCTAAAATAGACAATTTGGGTTCTATAATAAATATTGACTTAAATAAAGAAGCAAAAAATCAAATAAATAATTTGGTGACAAAATTAGAAACTATATCATTCATAAACAATGATGGAATGAATAGTCCAGGAGATAGTGGCATCCCTAGGTTATTTTATGGTACAGAAGATATTATGGTATTTCAAACCAATACCTATAATAGAACTGAATATGAAAATATTGTTGAAATATTGGATTATTGGAGAAAATTATATAAAGGCCCAGACTTAGGTATTGATGAAAGAAATAGGCTACTAGATCAGATAAGAGAAACTTATCTAGAAAATGAAGCACTTTACAACACTTTAATTATGATATTAATATGTCAACTAATGATGATGGCAGCCAATCATCCTCATCTGAAGAATCAATAGATCAAGAAAGGCAGAAGAGTCAATTGATCCCGAATTATTTGGCACATGGGGAGAGGGAGAAAATTTTGACTTTATTCAAACAAATGAAGTTAAAAATGATATTAACATTGGAAGTACCTCCAATCCTACACCTGAGCCAGTAATATCTAGAAAAGATAATAATCATAAGTATCCAATAGCTCAAAATGGTACTTATTTAGACTTGTCTTATGTTCCATTTAAGGATCAACCACAAGCAATAGATGATTGGGCACAATCCTTGTCCATCATTATTACCAATTATAAAAATAGTTGGTCAAAGGAAAAATTGGAAAAATTCCTTGATTATATTGCAGCAATTGTGGAACCTGATTATTAAAAATGGTTAAGACAGTGGGAAAAATCTGAAATTGGGAAAAGTCAAAAAATGGCTTTGTTAACAAATTTTCTCACACTTGACACAATTTAGCTGAATTTGCAAAAATCATAAAAGAAAATTTATGTGGTTTTGCAGGAGATACTAATTTGCAAGTAGATGCAAATTATATTTTGACTAAATTAGAATTATGTAATATTTGTCTTTTTTAAGACTATGTTCAAATTTTTAAAAAATATTATTATCTTATTGATCCACCAGCAAATCAACTCTGGTTAGATCAATTTTTTCATAAACTCCCTAATCCATGGGATGAGTTATGTATTAAAACATATCCTAATTTTCTCAAAAAAATGGGGGAAGGAAGAATATGATAACCTTGGTTTTTGCATTAATTATGTTCTAAGACTAATAGCAGATCGGTGTCTAGAAGCAAAGGCGAAAAAACAAATAAAAAATCAAATTTCTAACTCACCATATGGTCAAAAATGTTATGATAAAATTTTAAAAGAAAATTGAAAAATTGGTTGTAATACATTTCCTAAAAGAAAAGGATTTTCCAAAAGCGTAGAAAATATAAATGGAAACCTTGGAAAAAGAACAAAACTTTTTCAAAAAAGAAAAAGTATATTCGAAAAAAGAAACCAACAAGTGTTTCAAAAAAGAAAACTTGTAAATGTTACATTTGTAACGAAGAAGATCATTATGCACCTGAATGCCCAAAAGGGGGAAAAAGTGCAAAGAAAATGATCAAAGTCCTTGAAGAACAAGATTTTGAAATAATATATGGAGAAGAAATTTCTGATGAAGAAGAAATCTTATAAGAAATTTCTAGTGATGACGAAAGTTCAGATGAAGAACTAATTTTCATGATGACTAATAATAGTCAAGAAATGTCTCAAGAAGTAGATAATATATCTCAAGAAGAATTACAGGCAATTCGACTTGGAGATGTAATCGGAGAAGAAAAAACTTTTACCGACAAAGAATTAGCAAAATT